ACACGACGTAGACACAGAATGAAGCTCATCGTATTCATAGCCATAGTATGATGGAGAATCCTATGACCAACAATAGTACGGTGATAGTTGGTTATACTTCTCCGAGCAATAGTATGATACATGATAACAAATCAGTAGCGAAATTAAAAGTTCTGACATTCACCAATACATGCCTCAAGAGCCGCCTCGGACACGTGATTGATGATGATCAACCTAGGACCATCACTACATTGATGCATTAATGATATACGGTGTATCAATACACTATGTCGTGGGATCAATTTTAGGATTGGATCCGACAAACATATTATATTGATATACAGATACATAGGATCGGGGATCTCGATCTCGATCTACCACCCGTAAATGCTCGTCGTTTCTTTTGGTGGTAGAATCAGCTATATCTACACGTGATTACTTAATTTATTTGAATCTTAAAGTTTAAGTTGTATATAAAATAATCTATCAATTCAAATAATTTTTTGTAGATAATTCAATATTAACGGAAGGACGATCCGGAATGGATCGAAATTGCGAACCTTGCACAAGGCTACTCCTCAAAGCCCGAAATGGATTTGTGGCACTATTCTTACCTAATTTACATTAGTTTTGCTAAAACTATACTAAATATATATTTATTTTTAACTTAAAAAGCCTATCTTAACTTTTTTTTAAATATTTTTCAATTATTTTTGGAAGGTTTTATGCGTATTTTAGGCATACCGCTCGGTATGCTGTACCATACCATACCGAGCAAAGCTCGATACACTAATATGGTATGGTATTTAGAACCTTAGGTTGAAGTCCATTGTTGATAAGTTAAAACCTTTTAAGCATAATAATTGTTGAGGCAAACTTTTTCTCAGCTACAGAAAGTAACTTTAATGACCCAAACCATAAATTCTTTCGTAAATTTGATAACTTCTTTCATCAAATTTGAAATAACTTCTGGTCACTACAGAAAGTCACTTCTGCAACCTCATTTATAAAGTTCATTCATTAAATTTGAAATAAAATATTTATCTTGCAATTGACTGCATGGCTCTACCATCAGTCATAATCATAAAGTTAATTAAGGGCCTCTTTTATGAATCACTCAATTCATCACTTACAATACAAACTCCTTTTTCATTCTATGTGCCATTAATCGACCGTAAGAACCTCTCAATATTTTTTCTTACTTTTCGAAGGAGAGTTGTTCCTAATAAATTATTACCAGCTGGTAAATAACCAGATCAAGATAAAGGATTGTTCACAGTAAAAATAAAAACACTAATATAATACAGATTTCTTTCTAGGTGAAATTAAAACCAGCAGAATAAAATATTCTAGCTATTTCATAATGTAATTGATCACGTGCTATTCAATACATTTCACTTTGTTACTATCACTTTATTTTCATTAGAATACCTACTGACAAAAATAGTAGAAGGGGGTAATACTTTTTCCAGAGCTCTTTGTTGTTTTGTCTTTAAATTTTTGCATATCATAGATATCCTTCATTGTTAATTTTTGCATACTATAATTTGTTGATCGGTCATCTTTAATAGATGTGCTCTATCTCTTGTATAAACACTTTTCTTGACTTAATGACAAAAATTACAGTGCCATATAATATTCTCACCACCTCCGCTTAATTTGTCCATTTTAGTGACATGTCTCTATAACGGTTTGTAATGTTCCTTATCATTAGATATAGTAAGAACATAAATTCTATCAAAGTTATACTGATAGTACTCGATGAACTCATTCCGAAGGTTCTGGTGGATGACTCTCTTTTCCATCAAAAACCATGAAAAGAACAATATTCATCAAGTAACATAAAAAATAAACATAAAAGTGATTATTAATAAAATGGAGAAGGAAATGTAATAAAATTGTAGAATTAGATCGTTATCTCTAATGTGCAAGAAAGAAACCAAGGAAATGCAATAAAATAGAGAATCCATGTAATTATGATAATTGAAATTTGAAAACCATGATTGTGCCTAAATTATAATTCAACATTTTATAGAGGGCACATAAGATGGAGTACTTCAAATAATGGTTTTATATTAAAATTTCTAATTATAATCGTAACACTGGTGGAAATTTCATGTCAATATAGTCTTATATGTGTTTCTGTAAAAGCAAAAATAAAATGAAAACCATATTGCTATAATTATGATATAATAATAATGTAACGTATATTATGGCTAAAAAACAATAATAAATAATATCTAACCTGCACTGTTTGATTCTAATAAATGTACTTAGATAGTACAGATATATTACAATTAAATTTATTAGAAAGCAACAAGGATTCATATGAAAAGAAAAAGATTCTGCACTGTTTGATTTCTGTAGTATATAAAATTATTTATTAAATACAAGTAATTTTTGCAGTATATAAAATTATCATTCATACAAGTCTTTGCAATTACTTTACCAAACAATGGTTAACAAAAAAAAAATATTTCCACGTAATAACTCTAAGCTTTGCACCAAATTATAGCTTATGGTGCAAGTAGTTTAGTTCCACAGAGTACACTTGATATTCTTTTAATAAATTCCTTACATATGTTCATATAGCTTACTTTACTCTTGTTATACTCTAACTTATTACTCATATATTTAACAATACAAGTTAATCATAATAAGATGCAGTAACAAAACCTACCATGAATATAGTTATATGTTCTCTTTGAGCTTGGGAAATTATAATTTAGGGACATCAAAACACAAAAATGTGGTAATAAATTTCTAAAAAAAATTTAAAAAGAAACAAAAGCTAAAAGGCTTATTACTGCGATCGAGCTCGTGGGTTTGTATGAGCGAGGCCGCGGGTGATAGGGGACAGGACAACGGGACATCAAGGGTTTGCACGAACGAGGTCGCTGGTGATAGGTGACGTCCCGATGAGTCCTTGAGGGCGAGAGGGACATTGTGGGCGCATAGTGATAGGCGATGGGTCGTGATGCATGTTGCGAGTCACCAAGGGCCTCACGTGATCAGGCAATGGGTGCTAGTGAGGTTGCGGGTTACCGAGGGCACACATTGTCCGATGTGGGTGAAGTCGGGGTTTTTCGAGGCGGGTTGTGGTCGTCGAGGTCATGCTATAGTGGCTTCAGCCTTTAACTAGATGTAGGTGGGCTCGAGGTGCAGGTTGTGGTGTTGTGTTGAATATGCTCCCATTGTCGTTGGAAGCCTAGGTTGGAACCCCCTTGTTATCGCCGCACTCTACTTGTGCTGCATCACACCTTGCATTCCGCTAGAGAACCATGATTTAACATCAATGATCCTCCAGGTTTGATAAGAAATCCCCAAATGTGAGGGTCACGCGAACTTAGTGCCGCACACGAGTGTCACCCGAGGAAGGGTGCTGGAGCAGTGGGGAGGGGCTTGAGAGAGGTATTCTGACATTGATACGTCATTTCCAAAAATAAAAAAATAAATAAAAATAGACACAGGTCAGCCACGTGTCCGATTGTGTCAGTGACATATCTATGTTCGACACTTGTTTGTCATGAATACACCCACCAAATTGACGTGTCCGTGCTTCTTCATAGATTTCTACTTTTGGGTGCAAGTAGTCATGTTTTGAATGTAAGTCTTGCCACATTATATTGTTCTATATGTCTTCGGTAGGGTTTAACATACGTATACTGACCATGGTTTCCAATAGTGCTAGGATGGTTCTGTATGGGTAGTGTTTATCGGTCCGATAGGTTATCAATATTCAATACACGAACTGGTGCAAACCATACAGTCTGCTTGATAGCAGAACTGTAGTGGGTAGTAGAGGCTTTGCACTGGAAACTGGACGGTTCACTCGGTGCTAGACCTGTACCAAGTAGTAAAGGCTTTGTGTTTTTTCGATATAGGGTGGTACAGGCTCTGTACCAAGTTCTTAAATTTGCTCTAGTATTGTTTCATACAACCTAAGTTACCTAAAAAGAGAGGAGCCATTACACGACTCTTTCAATGATGGGTCTAGGAGGGTCAATGTTGGCAGCCTCCTATGAGTGATTTTGTGGCTTGAATCTTGAGCAACTTTACCATTGCCAAGGCTTGCCCCTTACCAATGCTTTAATTTGTATGGAACAAAATGGGGAGATTACAAGGCTTAATGTATGTGTGCATAATGTATGTGTCATGTGGACACAAAATTTGTCAACTTTCTCCACCTCAAAACCCTAAACCCTAAATCCTAAACCCTAACTAGAACTAGAATAAGTGAGATGATAATTGTGGAAATTAGATGTTCCACCCATGAGGAAATAGATGGAATTTACCCAGGCTTAGAAGGCATGCTTTCAAATTGCAGTATCGTCCATAGTCACCATACCATGCCATTGTACACTCGTATGAGGATATCATTGTACTGACCATCTAATACCATCTAATACGAGGATATCATGGAATTTTTAGATCATACGGCTTTATAGTAGTCAATAAATATTGGTTCTTACTTCTTACCAGGTACCATACATGTTTCTAAAAGCTCGATAGTAGGATTGATCGTGTTCGAGAGGGGTTTATTGGCATAATTTATTTTGAAACAGCTGGTATTCAATTGATAGTCGATAATTGGAGGTACAACTAGGATTGGTCAAGGATCATGCTTGTCCCGGTGATCCTTCGAAGATGAGTGGTTTCAGTTTCATACTTAATTGATATTGGTTAAATATAATTAAATTAGATCATTAGTGGCCAATCCCACTGTCTTGTTTTATGAACTATTCTGATTATTTTATTGGTTAATTGTGATTTTTGACCTGTCACGGTTACCCGAGCCATGAGGAAATTAGAAAAGTTGGCCTGTCGTAGGTAGGGATTTCACATGTGAGAAGGAGTTTGTTTTTTCACATGTTGATCAAATCTCGACTTAGTTTGTCTGATTTCTTACACTTTTGGCAAAATTGTATATACATATTCTCATTTATGTTTTTTTCTTAAGTTTTCTTTTTGTTGGACTACTGTGCAAACATTACTGATTTATAATATTGCTCATTCAAAAGGGGATGATCACAGTATAATGATATACTATCCTAGCTCTGCTGGTGGTGGAATGAAAGAGTTATTTCGGAAGGTTTGCTTTGTAATTAAATCATTGACTAGCTTTTTATTTTCTTTCTGCTATCCATATGAATTATATGCTATTTGTGGATTGATTTTTGTACTTTGATGTAAATCACATGGTTTTTTATGGTAATCATATCTGATCTTTTATGGTCAGATGCAAGTGATGCCCTTCTGTGGTTGTTAGATATATTCGGTAAGAGGCTTTGAGTATTAAAAGAACAGTAATACTCTTGGCTGCTAGCTTCTGATATTATTTCATAACTATTTCTAACTATAACAAAGAATTCTTTATATTAGTTAAAGTTATCTGCCATTAATATGATTAAATTAAGTCTCAATTTACAAAAAAATATTTCAAATGTTTGAGGAAACGATGTATTCTCTTGGTCTCTCGTATGTATAGTATAATATGCAAAATAATGCATAAATTTACCCCATTTTGATATATACAGTTTTAGAGGAAAAATGGCATTTTGGCATACGGCAGATCATTTGTTTCTCAGTTATGTTAATTTTCCATTTCTGATTGTTGGGATTTCTAACTGTCAGCTTCAAGTGACTAATGGATCTATCATGGGACTTGTCATCTAGATGAGGATATTTAGTCCACTGACTTATTAGGCATCTCTGTTTATGAAGATGTGAAAATACTTAACATAGTCCTGATAGGTAATTATGTAAATTCTACAATGAATTTAAAGCTTAGTTCTTGAGGATCAACACTCCTACCCCTGATTCACAATTTGAATTCGTTATTTCTACATGGATGTAAGTTGTAAGGAGCTTAAGATTCGGGCCAATATTTTTCTCTGTAGTCTAAGACCATGGTTGTTATTCCTTAAGGTGTTACTTTGTGATTGATGGAAGTTGTGTTTTGATGAATAGGATGATCTTGAAGAAATAAGAATTTAATGTCAAATTTATCCCTAAGTGCTACCAAATAAGCACCTTATCTTTTGCTAGCTTGTTGATTTGGCCCATCTATATATGCATTTCTAGGTGCTGATTGAATAGGCAATTAGAATTGAACTTCACACTTTATTACTTGCATTTATCTTTGGTTTCATATGGTGCAGTTCTGAGTCTGCTTAATTTATTGGAGTGGTTCCTCTCCAAGGCAGATTACAACCCGTTCCCTACAGTTGATCCTAGGATTGAACATACTATGTTAACATGGGGAAGTTATTGGTTTAGAGATGTCTTGCCTTAGTCATTTGAATGGTCCTTGAGCATAAAATGGGGTTTTTCTAAGAGTGATAAATGAAATATATGTTCTTTTTGAGTTTTCTCTACCCATCTCATTTTTGAATGGTTCTTTTTAAATTATTTTCAAATAAAATGCTCTGTCAATCTGGGTTCGTTATTTTTAACAGGAACTGTGTGATGATCTTTTTTTCCCTATCTTGGTTTTTTAAAAAAAATGTAATATACATGCTAAATCTTTCGACAGTTGCAGTTCATGTACCATTCCTAGATGTGAATGATATGAGGAAACAGGAAATAAAAGAAAAGATGGGCGCAACAGGATTATTGACAATTTATGTGATACATTTCATTTCTTTTTTCTTATTATTATTTTCAAAAATTCTAGGCGATACAGGTAAATATACTGCCTAGTTTATTGGTATATGCCTATCCAATTGGTTACGGGAACAGTTATTGAACTTGTATTTAAAATATTGCAGGGCCAAAAGTGATTATTGACAATTGGGGAAGAAGGGATTATTGACAATTTATGTGATACATTTCATTTCTTATTTCCTATTATTATTTTCAAATATTCTAGATGATACAGGTCAATATACTACCTAGTTTATAGGTACATACCTATCCTGTTGGTTATGGGAACAGTTATTGAACTGGTATTTGATTTCACTGTTGTGACTCAACCTATAATTATTGAGGTTAAAACTTTTGCCGAATCTATATTGACAAACTATGATATGCTTTATGCAAATAAATATAAATGAATTCTATATGTCTCTTGGCTTGTCTCTAAAATGCTATTTAAGTGCTTTAACTAATAAAAGCAGAAAAACTGCATGGGGCATTGCTGTCATTTGTAGTCAAGCTTTGGAATTGCAGCACCAAGAAACTTACTATGCTGATCTATAGGTTGGAAATCGGTCAAGCGAATTTCATCCAGAGGTAAGGAGGGTGAGGCGTGAGGGCTCTTACATCTATGAGGAGTTCATGCCTACTGGTGGAACAGACGTGAAGGTTTTCCTGATTATTATTTTTTTTAATGTTATTGTCTTGCTAGTATTGTTGTCATCTTGGTAAATATTCCTTGGTACTTGTTGCCAGTCATACTTTTGAAACAAAGAGTTTTTCATATTTTTAAGAAACATGTAACTGGATTTAGGCGTGCATATCCTTATATTGATCTAGATGGAAGTACACAGGAATATATATACAATGGCTTCAGGTTTTATTGAAGATGATATTAACCTAAACGTAGATATCTAGTTGTGTTTGCTTTGTCTGAGCCACAAGTTTAATTAAATATCACATTCATTATCCACATTGAGATTTATTAATCATCACTCGAGCATATCACAATATCCTTGTAAAACTTTATCTTGCCAGAAGATCCTGCTGTCAAATATTTATATTTGACTGTTTTTGTGAAAATTGGCATAGTAAGAGAGCTATTTCCTTTTGTAATATCCTACAGTTTTGTATTTATGTCATAACCTTATAGACAATAAAACAACATGGGATATTTCATGATGCTAGTGATAATTATTTCTTGATTTAGTTAAGATGGATTTAAAATGTAATTGAATGTTCGTTGAACTCTGACGAATACTAGGTTTTCAATCAATAGAAACTTTTGGAGAACTCAGTCACAATTACTAGTTGTCCTAAAAGAAATATTTATTACTAGGTACAATAACATTTTTTGTCCCATTATTTGACCTGAAATTGTCATACTTTGATTTAATCTTGAAATGACCTTTGGAACTCGATGAATCTTCTCTATTTCTATGACTTCATTGGAATTTGTCAACAATAAGAAGTAATGGCCTTCTTGTGATCACTTGTTCATCTGAGTGTAAGTACCATACTAGTTGTTGCGAGAGATGACTTGTACGTCTTAATGCAAGTACCATACTAGTTGTTTTGAGATTTTTCATCTTTTGATTGAGTCCTTTCTTATCTTTTGATTGAGTGCTTTCTTACTTTTTGAGGCAAAAGATAGGCCAAGAGCTTTTGATGTGTAATTCTGGTCAGCTAAGCTAAGAAAATTTCTAATATTGTAAGCTCTTTCCGATTGCATTCTTCATTTGATATAACTAACCTTAATCACTTATATCATAGATGATCCCTTGAATATAACAAAATTTGATCTCTCATGGAATAAGTTGACTAGGGACATTCTTAACACTCCTCAACCAGCTTGGCTAATCCTTATCCAAGGTTCTTTTGAAGCCTAAGATCTCTATTTGACCAAGGAAAACTCGTCACAGCAGCCCACTTACCTTAATCCATGTCCTAATAGGTTCGGATTAGGGTAGTTCTCACCCAAATAGCAGTAGCCACCAAGGGAAGCATGCTCCTACTTGGAGTAGGAGAAGGCTCTATGCTAGCCCTGTAAGGAAAGTCTTGAAACTCGGACTCTTGCCCTACCTCAGTTATAAAAGTGAGAGAGCCCCATCTAAGGCATCCTCAAGGCAGTTCAATCTCAATCCTAGTAGGATTAGGATTAATGCAACCTCCAACGGAAGACTCCTACGGCTTGATTGTAAGGAACTGAGAAGTCCTAATTATGTTAGGATTTTGGATGCCTTTAATCCTATAAATTGAGTTGTAGTCCCCTTATGGCACCCAAGTTGTGCTCCTTCTTGAGTGCCCAATTGGCCCTAAGTTAAGAAGAGAGGAGAGAACAGAAAGAGAAGAACTTGCGGACAGAATTTCTGCACTCGTAGGACAGTAACAGCTCCCTTCTTACTTCTATCTAGCCTTCTGGCTGGCCTGAGACAACTTTCTAGCCAAGAGGTAGTAGTAGAAGAAGAGAGGAGGAAGAAAGCCTTGAGTGCCCTTCTTCAGCAATAGCCGAGATCAAGGAGTCCTCTTCTTATAGCCTGCAGTAGAATTTTACAAAAGAGAATTGTCACAGAACTAGTAGCTTCGTCTTCACCCTCGACAACCATAGATACGACAACTACAATAGAATCAACCCCTTCCTCAGTTCCTAACAGAGGTGGTGTTGTCTGATTGGTGAAAGTAGGGATAAAAGAGAGAACCAGCAGCAAGCGTTCTGCCACTATTTGTCCATGCTTATCACACGAGAACTTCCAAGTGATTGTTGCTTGAGAACACTTTGCTGTATAGTTCCCTATTTTAGGCACTTTAAACTTACGACAAGAGTAGATTAATTTCCCCATTCTATGTTATGTTTTTATTGCAAAAACATAACTCCTTCACCAAAACATCCATCTGAGAGGTGGTATCGGATCGACAGATCATCGCACCCGAACCCCATACGGATAATGTGGTATTAGAGAAATGATCTTATGGATGGTGACCACGGGACAAGGATATAAAGAGTTGGGCGAAGAATTACACGAGTTGGAGATCATGCCATGCTCACTTGGAGGAAGATTCATCAACGGGATGACAACCAACAACCTAACAACTTTGCTCGGCCTTATGGCCTAGTAATAGTATTAGCCTAGCAGATGGATATTGTGATTGGTTGGATGCAAGCCTAAGCCAACCCAACTATGAAGGACGATTGAGTAAAGAACATCACAAGATAGGAGAGATAGTCGTCTCCATCCAAGATGTGCTGCCACGAAGAAGATGCTTTCGAGCATAACATCGCAGTAAGAATTCGATTGTTTCGAGTCGAGGCTCGCATCAATATATCCTCCTACTACGGCTCGATCAATACTGAGATATTAGACTCATGGATGGATCAACTTGAAACTTACTTTGATCTATATGGTTACAACAATGACGATAGGGTGATGTTTTTGTGACTCATGTTGATTAAATACACACTCGTATGGTGGAAAGCATATCTTTATATCAACGATGTTGAAGTCGTGTCATGAACACAATTCAAAAGGCTCACCTGAGAGGAATTCTGCCCTATGAGGTATCTTAAAGAAAGATGAAGTGACATTACTTTTGTCAAGGAAGGGATCAATCCATACAATAATACACCATCGAGTTTTGACAACAAGCGTTGGCACTCTGAATCTCCCTCAACGATCACTCGACGGTGACGAAATACACCAAGGTTTATTGAACCGCCCAAGTCTGTATGGTATGGGGTGGTATGCACCGATTTGACTCGTTATCGAGATCTGGCTCACTCGAGTTCTCGTTGGCACGTCCTGTATATTGTGTGTATACATTGGTACAAATTGGTACGTACCGTACCAACAAATTTTCGAGACGGGTGTGGTACCCGAAATGGTGAACCCTGAAATACTCTACTGACCTCTATGCCTAGATCGATACAAAACTAAGCCTCTTCAGAACTCATGACATCACGATAGTAAGTTTGATTGCAATGACGATTGAGAATAAGAATCAAACACGCATTGAGAAGAATGCAAAGAAGGCCAAAAGGAAGGCACCCAAATGCCAAGAAAAACAATGGGAGTGGTAAAACCTCATCTTATTTCAAAACAAAATGATTTATTGAATAAATTTTATTCTGTAATTATTGTAAAATTGTAGGTCACACTAGAGAAATTTTGGAAGGTTCATCTCGAATTCTTCCTAAAGAAGTGGTTGAAGAACGATCAAGGTCGGTGAACTGCGACCATGATCGTGGACGATGACTCCATCGAACTTTCATTGGTTCCTTGCGTGGATCCGAGTCTATTACTGGTCGCCAAACTGAAGATTATATACTCGAATTTGACTCTCGGTCAAAAGGTTTGCTAGGAGCTTATCACTATAACGATTCAAGTGAAGCAAGAAGTCGTTGACAGATTTTCGTCATCAGGTGCCAAAAGAACCATATCTCGGGTAGCTTGCTCAAGAAGCTCGGCCGAGAGACGACATTGCATTTGTGCCTATATCCTCTTGGATGGCTTCATGATGATGTGGAGACAAAGATTGACTCACAACATAAGATACGCTTCGCCAATACAAAGGAATTCATCGATGAGGTGACATGCGATGTGGTTCTGCTTAACATATGCCAAATAATCCTTGAGAGCCCCTACTTATTTGATCAAGATGTTGTGTGCTTTCGCTGAGCCCAAAAGTATCAACTCCAAAAGGATGGAATGCAGTTTCTCGTCACCTGAGATCCAATTAGTTCGATGAAAGATTTGAAATTCGCCAGCCAAGCAAAGAGGATGGTGATCATGTCCATCTAAATCATCCCCAAGCTAATTCAATCCCAATCCTAGTAGGACTAGGATTAGGGTAGCCCATAGCTAGCTAGGGTAGCACCAAAAGGAAGACTTCTGCAACTGCAAGGAATTGAGAAGTCTCAATCATATTAGGAATTTTGGTTGCCCTTAATCCTATAAATCTAAATGGTTGCAGCCCCCTTTAAGCACCCTGGTTGTGCCACCTCTTAAGTGCCCAATTGATCCTAAGCTTAGAAGAGAGAAGAGAAAGAGACGAGAAGAGGGAGAAAAACTTGCAGACAGAACTTCCACAGCCGTAGGACAGTAGCAACACCCTTCTTACTTCTCTCTAGCCTTCCAGCCAGCCTAGGACAGCTTCCTAGGCGAGAGCAATGGTAGAAGAAGAGAAGAGGAAGAAAGCCTCGGCAACCCTTCTTTAGCAGCAACCGAATCGGCAAGCAAGGAGTCCTTAAAGCCTGCGACATAATTTTGCGACAGAGAACCATCGCAGATCCAACAGCTTTGTCTTCATCCTTGACAACTAAAGATGCAGCAGCAACTACAACAAGATCAACCCCTTCCGCAGTCCCTAACAGAGGTGCTATCATATTGGTGAAAGGAGGGAAGAAAGGGAGAACCGGCAGCAGGCGTTCTGCTGCTATCTATCCATGCTTGTCGTGCGAGAACTTCCAAGCGATTGTCACTCAAGAACTCTTTGGCTTAGTTCCCTGTTTGAGGCACTTTAGTGTGAAATTTGTCAAATATCATGTTCGCTTGCCTGAACTTTTACCTTCCTACACTTTACATCGGGAAGAATGCTAAATCTATCCTCTAATTGTATCTTATGTGTTGTGGGATGTATTTCTTGTCTTCTTGATTGTTTCATTTGGGAGAGGCATCACAACTCAGATTGGTATTCCTGTAGGTATATACTGTTGGTGCAGAATATGCACATGCTGAGGCGCGAAAATCTCCTGTTGTTGATGGTGTTGTCATGAGGAATCCTGACGGAAAAGAAGTAACATCTTTTAGCTTTGCTGTTGTTTAATCAATCAATAGCTTATCCAATTTTGTATCTGATTTTCATTGTAGTCATATTGCATTATGTTGATGCACTTTCTCTTTCACAAATCTGTATTTTACATGTTTTGATGCTTGAAAGTAGGGATGTTGCTGGTTCAGTCTGACATAATTAAGAATTACTAGTTCATTTTGTCAATCAGAATGCTGCCATCACCACTTTTGTCTAATATATATTAATTCATCATTTATTTCCAAATGTAGAAGTAGTGCTATATTAGGAAGTTGTCTCCAACTTTAAATCAAAAAATAATCAATGACCTTTTATGTTGTGCTTTCTATCCCTTTCATTTACTTCATTATCATGCACCTTCCTTTTGTCTCCACTATCCGGCACTACTCTATTAAAACATACCACTTTATATCACCTGATACTTTCCAATCCCATGTCTCTTGTCATTAGCCCAAAAGCTTTGGATCTCCAAAAATCCTTGCCTTTTTTGATCTATGCTTCTCCTGTGTTTCATCTCCTGTTATTTTTAAATTGTCCTCTTTATCCCTTGCACTTCTTTGTCCTGATTATCCCTTGCACTCCTTTGTACGATACGATGCATATCCAATTTGTGGCAGTCCATGGTGTTATCCTTAGAATGTTACAGAAATTTCATTAATGTTTAGGCTGATAAATACTTTGTTTGCGGGCCCTTGCCATTTAGCTGCAAAAATGTAGGATTAAATAGACATGCTTTAATGTAATAATTTAGGCTATAAAGGTTTTCTATGCACTCATTGTTTTTGCTAGTTTTATCTCTATAGCTAGCAAGGACCTTGGCAATCTTGGTATCGAGGTCCCTTTTAGAAACTTTTAGCATCCTTTTTGGTTGGAGAGTGTTATCTCAATTGGTCCTTGTGGTCAACTTTTCTGTAAGATATGTGGTCAACTTTTCTGTAAGATATGTGGTCATTGCTATTGTTTTAAGAAGCCCATTTTGTATTGACATGTGCCATCTGTATCCGGTGTTCATAGTTGGTCCTTCACACATGTTGGAAGTTGTAACCATGGATTCATGTGTTGTTACATAGCCAAAGAATTGGTTTTTGTGTTCATTTTGTGACCTGAAATTGTTGTGAATGAGGTCTAACGGCTAAATATCTTTCCTTACCCTTGAATTATTTAGATATTCTAACGTCAGACCAGTACAACACTAACCCATACAACAGGGCTTATAGTTTGGACTTTGGAACCAAATTAGGCTTTGATTCAAACCTTAAGGGAGTCATACAATTGAGAGAGAATGGTGATTCCATGCCCTTGAATTTGATAGACTTTCTGCTTGACCATTGTTGGAGGGGGTTTTTCATGGATTGCCAATGATTATGTCATGTTGGATGGTTGGGGGTGCCATTCCATTGTGCGGTCAGCATAGTGAGGAGGTTGTTCCCACAAATGTTACTTTCTTGATGCCAATTGATGTTCCATATCTTTACAATGGAGAGAGTAACTTGTTTAGGGTGACGTTTCAAAAACTTGTTAGAGCGGTACATGCCCATCAATATATTTTCATCCAACCAGCCAATGGGATGGAGATTGAGCAATATCTTCTGGTCTGTTCTCGAACACGGATTAGAGGGTGGTAACCTTAGTGGATCGAACGGTAAGTTTAAAACTGGGAGCTGATCTACTCATTGCACACAATAAAACAAAGACTTGTAGGCCTTCTAAAACCCCTTGCCTTTCCTTCTTTCACCTCTCTTCACTTCCTCTCTCAATCACAATATATTTTTCCCCAACTTCTCTCCCAAACTCTTTAAACTCTAGCTCTCTCAAATTTAAGTTAATGTCAACCAGTTAAAGCTTCATTCTCCATAACTCAATTTGGTTTTTCTCGAAGACAAGGTAAATCAAAAGCTTAATATCCAAATTATTCACATGTAGTTAGTAGCAAGAAGTTTAGTTCTTATATTTTGTTGTCTGAAAACATAATTATTTCTTTAATTTAGGTTAGTTTTAGGCATTTTATTAAGAAAGTTGGGGCTAGATCTTATTTTTTTGTCTACAAAATAGATGTATTGATTTGACCGGCATTTGAGACAATCATTATATTTATTTAAAGGAGAACATGACTTATGTCACTATGTTCTGAAATATGCTTTGAACTAACCTTCACCAAGTAATAGAGACAATGTGCTTTTTTAACCTTGTATGGCACATATGTTAATTGTACTTAAATTAAATGACTAAGATTTATTGCACTAAGAAAATAATTAATTTGTATCAATATGTAGATGTGGAACTTCTGGTCAAGTCACTAAGGCCCATAATAACCTTTGAGTACTAGTGCAAGATTAAATCTAGAAAGCAACCTCTCACGGGGTTTTCACTTATATTCTTATTTTCTTTGCATGTGGTTGAGGGTAATCGGATTTGACACTTGAAATGTTTGGTGCTTGGGGATGCTAGCCTAGTTAGCCAAATATCCCTAGGTTGAGTTCCTAGTCTTGACCATAAAGGTTGTTCTCATTTTGGCACCATTATACATGATACCAAGGTATGCAGTACCGAATGGTACCGCCCGGTATGGGCAGTACGTACCAGTCTGATGGCATACCGGTACGCGGACCGCCTGGTACTGTTACAGTGCTACAGTAGTACACTGTAGCACTGCTACAGTATAAAAATTATAAAATAGTTTGGTACATCAGGGTGTACCTCTCGGTACACCGGTACCGTACCATACCGAGCCAACCTCGAAACACCGGTACGGTATTGCATACCTTGCATGATACCACTAAGATAATCACTTTTTATATGTTTTTAAATTTTAATTATATTGTCGTACCATCTATTTACTAAACTATTTGTCATTTGTTGTACAGGTTAGGTATCCGGTTCTATTAACTCCAGGAGAGAAGCAAATGTCAAGGGATGTTTGTCTTGCTTTTCGCCAATTGGTAATAACTCTAAAATTTGAGCCCATGTCTTTACGATTTCATTTTCTATAGAAAAAATGCTTATTTTGATTTTAACTAATATTTACTAAGATATGTTGACGGGACCTATCAAGTTTTTACATTGATTTTTTATGCTAAATAATTTAGTAAGCTTACAATATGGTGGACATCGTGTTTAATATTTTTAAATGTAAAATATATAATGGAACTAGAATGTTGTAATGTTTTATTATTTGTATTATTCAAGTAATTTCACATATAAATTGGCGTGGAAAATCATGATGAGCATTAAAGAAATTTAAGATCAAATTGATTGATCAGACTGCATAAGAGGCATTTGATGTTCAAGTTTCAACAATATAACAAACTGAAATTATCCTAATGCATAAATAATGAAGTAAAATAATAAAATAAAATTTTTATAATAATAAAAAATCTACAACATTAAGATACTGATCAAAATTTTAAACTATTAATTTTGTAGAAATAGTTTATCTCTCAATTTTCCTTCGGTTTTTAATATAATGTTTAGCTTATAATTTAAAATTTTAAAGTTATATTATGTTAATATTTGCTTATTAATATTATATTGATTTTTTTCATGGTTTTAGTCAAGGTTTGCCTTACCAATCCGAACTAGTGTCTTGATCGACTAGCGGCATGGTACGTGCCACCGTGTATTGGTGTACTAAGTGTTGGCATGGTGGGGCATGTCGACAGCCTAGATTAATGCCAAAAATTGCTTCAATTTTTTTTGAAAAATAGAAAAACTTATACAAGGGTTTTAGGTTGTAAATAAATATAAAATTAGTATAATTTCAGTAAAAACATTCTAAATAAGGAAATAATAGTTGCATATATCTTTTTTGAACATGTTTCGGATTGTTCTTCCATTGGTTTGAATTGTTAAATTTTGAGTTAAGCTTTAAGATTCAAATGAATGAAATAATAAATTGATTGATCGATAGATACACTTGGTTTTACCATAAAAAATAACAACGGGACCCCATGGTCGATGGATCAGGGTCCACGATCATGTATCTGTATATGAATATAATATGTTTGATATACCCAATCCTGAAATTGATCCTAGATATAGTATACTGATACATCGTATGTCCTTGGTGCATCAATGTGGTGATGGTCGTAGTCTAATCATCATTCACGACACATGTCTGAGGTGCTCTTGAAGTAAGTACGATTGTGGTATCTATTACTTTCGTTGCTGATTTGTAGCTTCGTATTATAAGATTGGTCATCGTACTATTGTCTGGAGAAGAATAACAAATTATCACTATACTGCTATTGGATATAAGACTCTACATAATACGATGATTGGGAATGTGATGAGCTTCGCTCTGTGTCTATGTCGTGTACATTTTGTCGCGTCTTTTCAAAATCATCCATTGCCTTCTTCTCCTTTTGTGTATCAAGTTGACTAGTACCTCGTTGAGATCCATGATCTGAATCTTGGGTGGCATATATAGAATATTGCTTCTCAGCCCATGCACCACTATTAAACTGTGTATACAGGACCATTGACTTCTTGTCATCGTTGATATCGTCAATCGAGGCACTATTGTCCTTGTCGTCGTCATGTTTACGGACCGAGCGAGTTGCTGAATGCGATTGAGAAGTCTCGTCGTTTGACTTGATTCTTTCAATGGTATCATTGATGTTATTGTCTTCCCTTTTTCTTTTGCCTTTGTACGCTAGGTGGACGATTATGATGGTTAGGTGACGCTGGTTTCTTAAGTAATCTGAGTTGACGTTGCTTGGCTCCATCCATCGCGTTTTGATCGAGGGGGATCTTCCTCCTGTTGGGGGTGTGTTTCCTCTTCTTTTATTGCCTCGATGATAAAACATGATCTTCGAGGGGGATCTCTTGCCTCATCAAATAAAGGATCCTTTTGATTCATTATTGCTTCGACTCCATTTTAACATTGGCTGTGAATCTTTGGTGTAATATTGGAGGTTGATGGGATGACTCTTCACCTCCTCTGACTCATTCTCTAGCTCGACATAATACATCAGAAACATTAACCGATATATGAAAAACCACTTGTTTGTTGCAATACACAAGAAAATTGATAATACTCATTATTGTTGTCCTTGTCCAACTATCATACATAAGTGTTACCCTATACTCGTCCTACTGCCTACTGAAAGGATTGATCTAATCCTTCAGTTCAACTACTTCCTCATTTAAATAAACATTGTGGGTATCCTTTAGTGTTGGAGGTTGGATCCCCATGTTAGCCTTTTGGATCGAAGACACAATGCTATGATAATATAAACCTTGGGCTGTGTTTGTTGGAATCCTGTGGAAGTTGAACCACTTAGCTATTGCCTTGCAAATATCCCTCTTCTTTTCTTTTGTATAAGCATCGTTTATTTGTGTTTGCTTCGCTATTAGTGGAGGATAGGCTTGTGGATCAATATTAGCAATATCTAGTGTTGACCTCTTATCAAGTCCTTGTATAAACTCATGGATTCCACCTTATTTCATGCTATTAATCCGGCTCAACTAACGAGGAGGGGCAGTTGGCTACCTTATGCTTGCCGATCTCTGGAATCCTTGTGGCGCAGACCCATTTCCACCACCATACTCCTATTATGAGTTAGGTCGTCAATGCCTTATTGCCTTCTTGTACATGTATCGATGCTCCATTGATGCATGAATACCTCCTCTAAGATCCAAGCCGATATTAGCGATGCAACCCTCATATTCATCATAAATCGATTTCTATGTAGTCTTGTAGTATTCTTTATGTTCCTTGGTCTTCTTTTTAATTGTATCTTTCCTCTTGTTTGTTGTAGTTTATTTTGAAATAATTGACGGACCTCTGTCGGAATCTTTTTGCATTTTGCATTATCGGGAAGCCCGTCGGCCAAATGTATCTTCAACCGAGTTATTCCTCTAACTCAACCGATGTAGTCACTAATCACAATGAATGTACTGCTAATGATAACAGTTTCCGTTTATCTTTCGGGCATGATCCCAAGCGTCATCATGTGCTTATTTCTTTGGTGTCATGTCCTTGCCAAGATTGAATCAAATAAATAAGCTACGATTAACCCGAATTTTAAATACCAAGCTATGATTAGATGTAATGAATCATATTTTATCACTTTAAACATGTCAATTAACCTAATAAACATTAAATACATAGAATTGACCCAATATAGGTCAAATTACAATAAATTTATAATTAATTACTTCCTAATTAGTCTTCTTTTACCACTATAAATATGTCAAACACCATAATAATTGTTAAATACATAGAATTGACCCAATTTAAGAGCAAATAATGGTGAATTCATCTTAAAAGACACTAATTACAATATTAAAAACTTAATTAATCCCTATTAGTTTTATTTTACTACTATAAATATGTAAAACACCCTAAGAGGCATTAAATACATAAATTTGATCTAATATAAGTCAAATTACAGTGAAATCATAATTAAATACATTAATCACAACATTAACATAGTTAATTACTTCCTAATTGTTCCTTTTTCATCACAATAAATATGTACATTTTAATAGGCATTAAAGATATTGAATTGCCCTAATATGAGTCAAATTTTGATTAATTCATCATTAAATAAACTAGTCACAATATTAACATAGTTAATTACTCCCTAATTAATCTTCTATGACTATTATACACATGTCAGACACCCTGATAGGCATTAAAGACATTGAATTAGCTCATTATAAGTCAAATTTTGATTATATCATCATTAAAATCACTAATTACTATATTAAAAAAATAATTAAAACCTAATTAAATCTATTCTTCTATCTCAAACATACAAATCATCATAATATGCATGAAATGCAAAGATTTCACCCAATATATGTCTAATTTCGATAAAGAGTATAATGAGTATTTAGGATTTATTAGTAAATTGAACTAGTGGTAGATATGTATAATAAACTTCCACCCAAGGCATGATGGATGCTTTCGGTCAAGCTCCTTTGAGCTTGTATGTGTAAGAGAGAGAGAGAGAGAGAGAGAGAGAGAGAGATTGCTGCTGTAGATCCAACATAGAAAATAAAGAAGGAATAAGTGTCTGCCTTGATCAATTTCCCCTATTTTTATTCTAATTAGTTTTCAGAATCTGAAACCTCTATTTACTTGGTTTCAGTTTCTCCTGAATTAAAGAATTTTTATTTTTTATTTTTAATGAAACATGAAATTTGTTTTTAATAAATTTTGGGACTTCTTTTAATTATAGAACCTAAAGAATTAAATTTCACCATTTTCATGAACTAGGTATGATTAATTTTTCTATTTTTTGAATATACACAGCAACTTCCTTTATTGTCTATTTCTACCTAAACATTGAACTTTATGTTCCCATTGTAACTTTTAGCCAACTGTGTAATTCTCAATGTTTGTCATCTCTTATCATGTAGTCATATCGGTCCTTGGCCGAATCGGTACGTACTAGTCAATATCGTGTATTGGTACATCGAAACTTGTGGTAAATAAAAAATTCGGATGAGAAATCTGCTAAAATTAAAATCCTATTTCAGGATTTTTTCCTAATTTCTTGGTATATCAATTAAATTTAAAAAAGAATAAAATATATCTAAGCCATAAAGTGGATATAAATTCTAGGCTATATATTCCTTAATTAATTAAATTTAAATAAGAAACATGGTGTAATGTGCTTAAATTCCTTAATTATCACTCATTAGGTCTTAATCATGCTTGATCTACATATTAATGAGCCTCTAATTGCCCATTAAACATGGGAGGATAAGCTTGTAAATCATGCAGGAAGTGAATGCATGATTGATCTATGCTAATCTTTCTTAAATACCTCTAATTAAGTCTTTATTAATCATTAGTCCCTAAAATCATGAGGTACCAATATTCTTTACACTAATTGAATGAACTGATAAAAAACATATAGAGAAGTTAAATACCTTCAATTGAAGGCAAATTCCAATGGATTTCGAGTTTGAATCCCACTTTATCCAAATCAACCTCCACTAATCGTCAATTAAGGAGATTAAATATGTTTAATGAGATTGTAAGAGTGAGATTGATTTCTTTTAATCATGTATATTTTCAATATTTAATTGCTTCTTTTAATACCTCTCTCAGTTACTCTTTTGTTCCTTTTCAATTTTGTAAATCTAGGTGTGATTTCTAAGATGGTCACTAGTTTCTACAAGAGGAGTCTATCACAGAGATCGTATTTCAATGTGAATTCAATTGTTTGTATTGAAAGTTGCAACTTTAACTGGAGAGTGTTAACAATCCTACTCCTTTTTCTAACAGAAACGAGGTTGAGATCCTCTCTAACATTGTACCCACAAACATTGCAATTGGAAGTTCAGAACTGAAGGTGCAGTTGCATGAGATTTACAATATTTTAGCATTAGTGCTATTGATATGGCTAAAGAAACTGGAAAAGTTCTACCAAAATATTTTCCTTTTCCATTCCACCATCATCCCATGGCTATTGTCGACCATCCACAAACCCCAGCAGCAGTAGTCCAGAGCTACCAATAAGAGAAGAGGAGAGAACAAAAAAAATAAAGAAATTCATGCTCTCTACTACAATAAGAGAAGAAAAGTTTGCGCAGCCATCTTGGTGTGGCAACTCTTTTTGGGATAAGAATCCTTTATAAGAGAGTTATCTAAATGCAGAAGTAATAGGCCCATGTGATCCATGCATCTCCCTTAAAAATCCTCTTCTTTCCTTTCATGTGGATTAGTAAAAAGAAATAACAATTGGAACCTAGCTTATTGCATAATTTTGGTGTCATGCATTTTATTTGTATAGAGTCCTGACTAAGTGGTTTCTTTGCTTCATGCTCACTTTTTGTATCTGTGGTGTTCTGACAGGTTTGTGGCTTTGATCTCTTAAGGTGCGAAGGAAGGTCTTATGTATGTGATGTAAATGGATGGAGTTTTGTGAAGAACTCTTACAAGTAATCCTGTGTCTTTGTGGTCTATACTCCGTTGGTTGAATTTTAAATATGGATGGTTATACTTTTCATAGTTTCACAAATCTAGTATGTATATTTTAAGAATCACCTTTACTGTTTAGGTATTATGATGATGCTGCATGCGTTTTAAGGAAAATGTTTCTTGATGCCAAAGCTCCCCATCTTTCAACTACAATTCCTCCTAACCTTCCATGGAAAGTTAACGAATTGACCCAATCTTCTGAGGGACTAACACACCAAGGAAGTGGACTTATTGGAACATTTGGGCAGTCAGAGGAGCTTCGTTGTGTTATAGCTGTTATCCGTCAGTAAGGACAGGTTTTACTGCTTTAGGATGTATGTTCTTTTATGGCCTCATTTTCTAAATTTTATTATCACAATTTCATCCTAGTGGTGATCGGACTCCAAAGCAGAAGGTAAAATTAAAGGTGACAGAAGAGAAGCTACTAAATTTAATGTTGAAGTACAATGGTGGAAGGGCAAGAGCTGAGGTGTTCTTTGACATTGAGTTACAATTTTCACATTTATTGGAACATCTACCTTTATATAGTACTTATTTGTCAATAATCTTATTGCAGACAAAGCTCAAAAGTGCTGTACAACTGCAAGATCTGTTGGATGCTACACGACTCCTTGTTCCACCCACAAGGTATAGAATCAAAATCAATTGCTTATGTTGATCTCTACAATTTTCAATGCTAATAATCAGCATCTCTGCACCTGGTGCAAAAGATATCCTGTGCTGAAAATTGTTCTTGGAATGCAAATTATGTCACTGAAACCATTAACCCTGGGAAAGGCGACTTTCATGTTTAACAACTGATTAGATTTTACTGGGTTGAGTATCATGAACTTGCTAGTACTTTGCAGCAAAAGGATATTCTTCCACTAGTAAGTTGATGCATAGATCTAATTCATGATGTGTGGTACATTTATGTAAGACTGGAGAGTAGTTTACTGTACAAATAATTACTGATGGTAGTGCTAACTTTAAGTGGGCTAGTGTATAGTTAATGAATAGCGAAGGATATTTTTTTGCACATTATGTCTGGCTTATTGTATTGGCTTAATAGATATTGGGTATATTGCACTCGTGAAGAGGCCTATAGCAAAGGCATAGAGTATAATTCATTTCGTTTATAATCATCATTGATGTAAAGATTCATAGGGGAGCTCCTTTAGCTAGGTGTCACTTGATTTGCCATGAACTTAATATCCTTGAAATTGCTCCGGTAAACTAGAGAAAGACTGGTCTCAAGGTGGTGTTTGTATTTATTAATGTTATGCTATTTCATTAGAGGAGAAAATTGTGGAGACACATATTATCATATGGATTTTTTGTTGCAATGGTTTAATCATTTTTGTAGTGAAGCGAATGCACGTTGTTTTTCATTGGATTGGTTTGTAGAAAACATGGTTTGTTATATCGGTCCGTACTGGTGTATTGACCAACATGTCACAGACTTAGCTGGATTTGCCTAAATCGTGAGGCACCATTACGGCCAAGACGCGAACTTAGCTGGAGTTGCCTAAGCCGCGAAGCACCCTTGCGCCAACTTCTCGGACTTAGCTGGGATTGTCTAAGTCATGAGGCGCCCTTGCGACATATGCGTCCACAAAGGGTCAGCCTAGTTGCAACCTCGTATAGGTCCCAAAGGACCTGTAAAATAGAAAGTTGATTAGATTGAAAACGGGCGACAGACACGTCCCAACGTCTCGTAAAGAGGGAAGCTTTACAAGCAATTCAGCAAGCACCTTGTGTGCATAGGAGGAAAACAAAGACTTTAGAAGGTAGAACGAACAGTAAGTCCACAAACAACTGCTCATCGGGTGCCGAGCGCGAAAGCAAGTTCCTGTCAAGTTAACGTGCGAATTTGTGAAGAGTTTTTCAACGCCCGGCAATGTACCAAAGTCCCATGCAGCCTGTGCCACTCGGGGGGTTCCAGGGTGCTGAGATGGTTGATGTTTCACGAGCAGCTTTGGCTTGCAGAAAACAAGTCGTGGCACATAAAAACAGAGCTGTTTTGGGCAGTTCGGCCTGGCACGACGAGCAATCGCACTGCAGCGCTGCAACCTGTTTGAACATGCATTTTTACAAGAAAAAACACACAAAACTAAGAAAAAACATGCTGCTATGTTTTGGTACAAGCATGCAAAAGCGACGAACAGTTCGTTGAACGAAGTTGTTGCGGGTGCGCGATGACCCTTCATGACAAGCTGTTGGTATGGTATGGTGTGTACCAAGCTGTACCGAGCATACTGACACATGGTACATGGGGGTGTATCGATGTATTGCCCATACTGGTCCCTTGTCGGATTGGTATGTATTGCTCGTATCGAGCGGTACATCATGGTACGATGAACCTTGGTAGAAAAGACTTTAGGTAGGGGAATAGGAAGGCACTCCCTGATGTCGAGAGATTTGGGCCCTACTTTGTAGCATTTCTTGGTGGTGGGATACTCAAATCTCCAAACATATTTTTATGACAAGCAAGAATATACTTTAAAGTTATTGTTTATAAACTTTCTACAGTTGGATTACACTGAATTAGATTTACTATTGAAATCTCATGTACTAGCTGTGGCACATCCTTGCCACTGATCATGACCTCTTACTGGTTCTTCATAATATCATTATAAGATTTGGCACCAAATGCCTCAAACTCAACCGATGAGGTAAGTTATGAATTGATTATGTTATTATTCTTAATAAGATATGCAGAGTTATTCATTGAGGGTTGTTAGTTTAGGAAAATTTATTTCAAGAGACTTATGACACATTAAACAAGAAAACTATCGTTTTGTGTTGATGACATGGATCCTGAGCATAATTCACAAATACAGTGTATTGTTTTATCACCCAAATCATATGTACAATCTGAAGTGATTGTTTTTTTGGGATTTTATCATCACTTGATGCTAGGACAAGTCGGGGCCGTCATGTTGCATCCATAGGCCGTGGCATAACTCATCAGTTTAGTTGCCTGATTACCAAGGTAAGAGGAAAGGTCACTCATTTTAGTCAACAAACCATTGAATGCCATTGATGTGCAACAAGTTGGTTAAGAGTTAAGACAATGAGATATCTTCATCAAATCTTGCACTTTGTCAAGTCTGCAGAGATGACAGTGAGGTGGATTGTAGTTTGTCTACTGATGATGGTGGTTAGGCACTAGGGTCTTAATGTCCCACTTTGCAGACTTGAAAAAGTAAAGCACAAAACTAGGAACAGATCCACCCAATTGGTTTAGGACCAGAAAGACAAGCACAAAGGGATGGGGAGTTGAAAGAGCTCCTACAGAATATTTGAGTCAGACGAGAGTTCCTTGTGGTCATAACCTTTCGACTAGCACTGATCTCATGGGTAATACTGTAGTATTATCATGATGATAGGTTTTCTCAAATTCTTATATTCATATCGCTCACGACATTAGTATAGTGATAGCAATTGTAGTGCTACTGCACCACAGTCTGAGCAGCCATACTTGTACAATCATACTTGCTCTAGCATCCTACTATCACATAAGTGATTAATGATGATGAGAGCACAACTGTTACTACGTTATTTCATTCGTTCTGCAGTATATATTGGTATCAGATTTCATGAGATCATTTTCAGGCTATTTTAAATTTAAGCTTGATCTGTATCTCAATCACATTAAGGACATAACTTCTCGTCTTATTGGGACATGACAATCATTTTGGTGGTAGTAGGCCAATTATACGGTATGGAATTACATAATGCATGCCTTGTGTATGTATTCATTTACAATTATTTTGGTCATGTGTTTCTAATATATACCTAGCGTGGTATGCTTAGGACACAATTCATTAAGGTGTGTACTTTGTAGCATGGTATACAATTTTGAATGGTACCGCCCGATACGGGCGGTACGTACCGGTCCAATGGTATACCGGTACGCGGATCGCCCGCTACCGGACGGACCGTGCTATAGTATACATTGTAGCAGTGCTACAATGCTATAGTAAAGGAAAGAAATATTTAAAATCACTCGGTAAACCCTAGTGTACCGCTCGGTACGTTGGTACCGTACCGTACCGAGCCAACCTCGAAATACCGATACGGTACGGTATTGCATACCTTGCTTTGTAGTACATGAAAAAACATGTTTCAATTAATTATTGTCTATCCTTAGCCAAAATTTAGGTTTTTTTAGGTATTTAGTTAAATTTTAGGGTTTTTTATTAATTTTTGAATGGGACTAACCAATGAAGATTGGTCCCATCAGTGACAGTTATAGATTGGTCCCATCTGTACCGCCTAATACTATGAGTGCGTATTGGTACCACATTATCCATTTAAGGATCGATATCGGTATTGGACTATGATTTTAATTGATGGTAAGGATCATAACTCTTTTGCTCTCCCTTAACTAATCATTCATCATAGATTGTTGTTTCGCCTAGACTGATACAAAATGGACGGTATGTACCGGTTCGAGCATGAAGTGGTACATGGACCACCCTCATTTCTGGTTATCTGATCTGACCCGTTAAAAAAGGAAAAAAAAACTATTTCACGAAATGTAAACCCTCTTTGTTGCACATCCCACGAGCTTCGTTTGCTAATGTCGGTGCACATCTGGCGCTCGTTGCGCATCCTTGATTTTGGATAGGCCTCCTCCTATTACTCCTCTTCCTCCACCGTTTCCTCTTCCCTTCCCTTCCCTTCCTCCACCACCTCCTTTCTTCCTTCCTCTTTCTCTACCAACTCCTCTTCTTCCTTGTTCCTCCTCTTTCTCCATCAACTCCACTTCTTAGTCTTCCTTCTTCCTTCTCCTCTTCCTCCACCGACAATTGTTCCTTCCACTTTGAGTCTTTGAGATGTACCAATGTAATGTGTGTTGGTACACTGATATTGATGGTTATGTATCTTTGTGACCGATGTGCATGGTTGGTGCGAGACAACAAACTTTTTTATATTGTTAGTTGTCAATCCTAGGTAGAGGTGAAGTAGTTTATGTACACCTGACATCTTTTGCCTGCATCTTGAATTGATTGGCTAGCTAGTGATGCCCACAGTAGGGATATGGGTGTGGATGGTGATTTAAAAAGTCTGGGTCCATTGGATACTTTGTCTTAAATCTTTCATTTGATTCGGCTTGGATGAAGTTGGCTAAAAGAAAATGGTTCATTCCATCGAAGGAACCCATTGGCTCATTTTTTTAATATTTTAAGGGTTTGCTTGGCTTCTGTTGATCATTATCTCTTGTGGAGATACTTTCATCAATTTCTTTTGAAGCAACATGGAGAAACACCCAAATAAGAGTTCAGATTCAGGTATGTCATTCTACCCAAGGTCTGCCATACCGAAGCGTACCGCCCGTACCGGGCGATACGTACCGATCCGCCAGATTACCGGTACGTGGATCGTCCGGTACCGCTACAGTGCTATAGTATTATACTGTAGCACTACTACAGTGCTATAGTTATACTGTATCACTGCTACAGTATGAAAAAGTATAAAATTGTTCGGTACACCAGGGTGTACCGCTCTGTCACGACCTTAGCTGGAATTGCCTAAGGCGTGCGGCACCCTTGCGTGTCCGTCCGCAAAGGTCAGCCTCCCCGAAGCCTCCCATTGTCCCTTAGGACCACCAAGAGAGAGAACGGGTTAGAGAGAACGCC